AAGTCCAGATCATGAAGCATCAAATGGTTTAATTCATCGAATTGATGGAGTAAGTTAGATAAGCAATGGTGTTATACTCTTTTTCTTCTTTGTTTTAGTATTTCAATGCCTAAGTCATCATGTGATTATAAGCTAAAATTTACTGATGGATTAATTACAAATAGATCACTGGTGAATGAAATAGATTTGCTCGACACTGGAACTAACTGTGAATTAAGCGAAGAAAGATAGTGGCTAGTAGTGGAATTGAGTTTGATGAGTGTTCAGTCCTATTTGGGATTCGTCAGCTGGATGTACCTGAATCGCAGAGTTGATGTTTACTCTGGGATTCTAACCCTGTACCGTTCGCTTCTAATAGGACGAAACACGTGTCAAATCGGATTCCATTCCTAGACACTATCCATCTTTGCTTACAAAGCTTATGACTTAAGGTAATATCTACGGAATCAGCACAGGATGCATATATGCTAACAAAAGACTAATCAATTACAGTCCTAAATAACAATGGAAAGATACAAGTAAAACACCACCAAGTGAATTTGACTGTGAATTAGATATTAGTAATTACATGCACTGTACGTGTATGAATTTGAAAAACCATTCCAAGTCATTTACAATCATTCACAATTGATTGATCACTGTATAGCGATCAATGTCGTGTATGTCAGGTCCTTCTTAGACCTTAGAAAATCACATCCAGCGGAGATAAATGTGCATATTATTACGAATTTACGATGTAACATGTTTTCAACACTTTTTACTTTTGTAGTGGATTTCTAGTTAATGTCAGTCCATGGTTTACTTCACCTGTGAACAAATTTATATCTTCTGGAATTGATATAATACAGTAAAGCTTTTATATATTTCATTGGCTTCATATCTGACTCCAGTTAAATCGTATGTTAATTGTTATCGAAATATACATACCACTGACCCAACCACCATCTTATCTTAACACAGTGCATGCATTTTCGAGTCACCTAAACTGGTGACTATATTGTAACTTAGTCGATAGAATTCGATCTGCACTAAGGACGACCTAACATACATGACAATGATCACCACCCAGTGATTAATCAATTGCAAATACACCTCATTTCTACAGGAGGTCAGTCACTGCCTAGATAGCTCAGTGGTAACCTCTCTAACTGAGAAACTCGGTGACACGGGGTCGAATCACCGAGGGAGTATCAGTCCCCTTAAGATTACAGGTTTACCTTGCTGATGAGTGCCAAGTAGCACGAAAACTATGTACAGAGTTTTCTGTAGACTACCTACAACCACCATCTTAAAATAAAATATCATCTTCATCTTCATTGATAGTCAAGCTGAATCATTGAATAACAGCTAATCAACTTATTCAATGTTGAATTGTTATCAACTGTTAGAGCTACATGACGATTGTTATGAATAAACTATACGTAGTTTAGTAGTTACTATTAAATAGGTTTAGTAGCATAGAATGATATAAACAACCATGATAAACAATTTAATTTTAATACACGTCATAGAATAAATAAAAAAATGTATTTGGAATAGTATCAGAAGGGGTAATTTTGTGTAGATATTATAGTAATTTTAATAGTTGAGATCAGTTGAGTCAGTTGAAGCTAGACCATCATGGTAAAAACCTGGAAGCATTGAACGGTAGTTTCGTCTTATAATGGGACTCCTCGGCAATGAGCATCCACGACCTACCGGTTTTGCGCGCGAGCACTAAACCACTAGACCACTGAGCCGGCATTCAACGGTGTTGATGTCTAACTTCAACTAATCCACTAAATTGTAATTAAAGACTATCTATTAGTTGTATTAAACTTATTAACTAATAAACACTGATCAATAATTACTGTAACAAGTAATATGTTACTAATTCATAGATGATATATACACATGTGTTAGTTTGTAAAAATGGTCGCATTATGTAAGCACATTGTACTACAATGCCTAATATGGGAGGTTGATTGTGAATGCAGTGGTTTTGAGTGTTGTGAGAGGTATAAGGGCAGTTATCACTTACCGGTTGCCCATACCGTGGAAGGGTTCTTACAGAGATATTTGACAAGGAAATTGGATTAGGGGTGGTCTTAGTGACATGAGAGCGTGACCGCAGTGCCAAAGGGACAACTGCCTGAGGTCGGTCACACACGACCTTTTTATGAGTAATTTTCATGTTAGCTCCCTACTTGATAAGACCTTACCTCCGCAGACGGATATCCGTGGAATAAAGTGAGGTGTGCATTTTTAGGGTTTATACGCCATTTTTACCTTCAGGATACTGAAGACCATGTATACCATTGGTTTGGAATCAGGGTTTTCAAACTTCCCTAGGTAGATCTTTCATATCCACCAAGCCGTTTAAAGCACTGGACATTCGCTTCTCTTCCTCTCAATTTCGTAAACAACACTTGTGTTGCGAGAAGGCAGTGAGTAGAACTTCACTGTCGGTAGCTGTATACTCGTGGTTATAAGTGAACATTTGGGGGAAAATAGTTTAATACTTATTTATTTATTTGAACACATAAATATTGGTACAAAGTAGCTACAGCCTAGTCCGGTCTAGATGACTTAATTGAGATACTGCTGTGGGGTTGTGCTCGGGTCATAGCTTAATGACATAATAGTTTAATAATAAGTAGATGACTACCCTCTCATCTCATACAATAATTCATTAATGCATTAACACCGTTGGATGCCGACTGGCTCAATCGTTTAGTGATTAAGCGCTCGCGCGTGAGACTGATAGGTCCTGAGTTCGAATCTCATGAGGCGGAATCGTGGATGCGCACTGTTGATGAGTCCCACAGTAGAACGAAATGGCCTTCCAGTGTTTCCAGATTCTTCATGATGGTCTAGTTTCAGTTGACTCATGATCTCAACCATTAAAATTACTATAACATCCACTGATAATCATATCAAATTGAAGAAATCTGACTTAGATATTCATAGGACAATCAATAATCAAAGATGATATGCACTAGTTTCATAATTTACTTAAATATTTTTATATTTATACTCTAATAAATAAATTATGATCTCTTTGTTTATTTTATTCATCTTTATTGTATTAAGGCTCTTCCACCTACTTATAAATATCCAACAGTTTTGAAACGTTTAACTGCTGAACCAGATCTATCATCATTTGTTCAAAGTTTACCACAAGATATAAAAAGAAAATTAGATGAATCAGATTCAATTGAATGGTATACAGTATTTGCAGTGCCAAATAATATTTGGAATAAAATAACATCAGGAATTGTTTCAACAGAAGTAAATGTTCATTTATATTTGTATTATGAATATAGATGAAGTTGTTCAAATATATAAGGTAGTAAGCAATATCAAGTAACTAATTGATTTATATCAGATGGGTTTTGTGAAGATTATAGTAATTTCAATGAATAAGATCATCAGTCAGTTGAAGCTAGACCACGATGGAAAACCTGGAAGCACTGAACGGTTGTTTCGTCCTATTGTGGGATTCCTTAGTAGTGCGCATCCAGAGATAACATTGTAATGTAAGCTGTCAATGATGCAAACGATCAGAGGTATTAATTCATAAACAATTGATTAGTACAACATTGAGGTGTACAGGATAAGCTGTGAATCATATGTGGAGAAATTCGAACACTTCAAACTTCTACTTAAAGTATATGCTGCTGATGTTGTCGTTCAGAAGAAGAGGAACGATGAAAGCTCCACAATCAAATGATCATTTAGCTCAGAGAGCAAAACTTCATTAAAATAATCCACTTGAGCTACAAATCTTCTCTACCATCTCACAAACACATGAATTTATGCTACACATTTCTGTAATATGAAGTTTAATGATACTACTCAAATGTCAGAAAGAAAGTAGACTGAGAGATATTACACTGAAACCACTAACAAAAACAAAACATTTTGTATCATAGATTACATAATAGATCTTGATGGAGATTTTTCTCTCAGCTGGATGGTTCGGTCGTGTAGCTTTGATTGTTCTTCTGAACAACATCATCAGCACAAACTTCAGATAGAAGTGAAGTGTTCGAATTTCTCCATATGTGTTTCACAGCTTGTTCTGTACACCTAGATCTTCTGTTTTATGATCTATGAGTAGTGATGATTAGAGGTACATTTAATTGATCTTCTGTAGGTATAAATACTAAATCCTACTGAATTTTAATTGGGTTCTTTTTGGCTTAAAAGTTGTATTGCACAAGTTAGCTTTTACCTTTTATATTTCATTATTATTATTATCATCATCATCTTAGAATATCTATTTTTTGTTAAGAAAAAGTTGTGGAGTTTATACTCGTTCTTTAAAGTTGAATGTTCACTTGAGTTGATCTAGAATCTTTTAAATAGATGCCAGTTCAATGATCTGAAAGTTAAGCGTCCGTGAGTGCGACTGTATACGTCTTGAGTTCAAATCTCGCGAGATGGGATCGTGGATACTCACTACTGAAGAGTTTCACAATAGAAAGAAACGGATGTTCACTGCTCTCAACTTTCCCATGATGGTCTATCTTCAACTGATCCATCAATTCAACTATTGAATTACTATATGTTGATAACATCTTTTCTTTTCTTTCTTTTCTCTAAGATCAAAGAAGCTTTAGCACGACAACATGTCATGAATAAAATGCTTTGTTCAGATGCAATTGTTAAAAATACTAAACGTGTTGGTCCAACATTAGCTGAAACTTATATTGGTATTGAAAGAAATTCTAATGGGAATTTAATTATGAATGATATATGCAATAAACAAATACCTATTCAACGTACAGATTTAATATCTGGTACTGGAGTTATACACATCATTGAAAACTCAATAAGCAGTTTAGAATGTAAGTAAAATGTTACATTTTACTATTACTACTACGTCGTCGAGTCCTGTGACCTCGATTGTGAGATGAGACCGATAACTGTATACTTAAGCCTAGCGCTGACCCAACCAGGTTAACCGCTCAGCAACACATACAGCTCCAGGTCAGTATGCAGTAATTCTCCGCAATTATGACATGGAGGCCGGGTAAGAAACCCACACTTGGCAGACAACATTCTCTGTCCAGATCCCGGATAGTTCTCCCAGAGTCAATGAGTGACTTTTGTTTCACTTTTACACATCAATCAGAACTCCGAGATAACAACTGATCCGCGACTATGACTACTACTACTCTAATTAATTATTAAGTAGTAAATAGTATCTTGTTATCGAGACTTCAATTATGAAGTATACAGATAACAAAATCTTTACTGTTGTCTTAATAAATATCATTTAATTACATTCTGAAATCCATCTATTAACTGTTTATGAATTGTGTATTGCCTATGATGATACTACCAAAAGCTCGGTAACTTTTTAACAATCCATTAGTGATCACATCAAAATTTATGTTAGAAATCATTAAGATGGTAAGATCTATACACTGGGATGAGTAACGTTTGGTTGCTTACTATACGATTGCATCATATAAATTAAGTATAATCCTACATGTAGTATGTCTCTTGATCTAGTCCAGTAGATTGTAATATATTCTTGATGGAATTATCTTTCTCTTTAGCAATGAAATTAAATGAAGCTCTTGAATGCTTAGAAAATAATCCTTCATTTAATGTAAAACAAGCTGCTAGTGAAATGCGTAAATGTCAAATAGATCTTGGAGGTGGTAATGATAATGTCATACTTTTATCGAATGATGGAGCTTTTCAATGTAAGTAAATCTATTTATGATAGGGATAATTTCTTAGTATAATTTAAGAGTTAACACTTAGATTTTATCTTGTTTTATGTTTGTTAAAATTCTTTTGGCAAAACTATAATCTATGAATGAACCAATCAGATTTAGGGTAATAGATCTTGGATTTTGGCTTGAAATGCACTCACCCATTCATTAAAATAGCGTCTTAACATTTTAGCTGATGTCAGTTCATGATGAAAACCTTAAATCTAAATCTTAACCTTTACAATCAACTGTAAATCATTGTCTTCATTCTTCAGCCTGGTTTATAACCTTCATTTAGCTCTAATAAGTAGGTAAATACTCGCAAGGTCACTTTCCCGTCACTCAAGGGTAGTCCATAAATTACAATCTCACCATTCTTTTTAGTAACTATTCTACAAACATCCTTACTGTAATCTGATGTAAAAGTATCCAAGGTAGATGTGGACCATCCAATTCATTATCTAATATCTTCCTTCCTCCTTTCTTATTTGATTAAACATGAAAGTAATATTTAAGATAAGCAATTAGCCTATTGATTTGCATTCCAATAATTTTCATTGTGAATTAATGCCAACTGGATAATTACATATAGTAAACAGTGTTGACTAAGTAAAAATGGATGGTGTCTAGAAGTGGAACTCAGGACGCGTGTTTCATCTTATTCGAAACTCATTAGCTGGATGTAGCCAAGTGGATAACGTGATGGCATTTGAGGAAACGGTACTGGGTTTGATTTCTAGAGTAAATATCAACTCAGACACAGGTACATCTAAATGAATAGTCCTAAATAGGACGAAACGCATGTCCTCGATTTCATTGCTAGACATCATCCATCTTTGCTTAATATGGTTATGAATTAAGACAATATCGAGACAGTCCGCTCAGGATGCGCCTATGTTAATAAGGTACTGATCAATTACAATCCTAAACAACAGTGGAAAGATTTATGCCAAAAATACCAAGTGAAGTGATGAATAAGTACTTTTTTATTTAAAACCCCTTAAATAGATTGCGTAATACCTTAAATCTAACCCATTATATCTAGGTCTTACAGTGAGCATAATCCTATTAATTAGATGAGTGGGAAGTCTTTACCTGTGATATTTAGACCACGTTTTAAAATGACTCTCAGATCCTTCTAAACCATTCATCTTGGAATGAATTTTTTCGTTGTTTCTGTAGTGTTATAAACGGTAGTTATATATGGGAATAACAAGTAAATCACACATCCAAAATGAAGTTAATAACTATTTTGATAATACTACTTGAAATCAGTATTTGAAAGTCCGCCCGTAACTCTTTTTGAGTTGATAACATATTAGTTACTGAAAATTAGTAACTAATATAGTCAACAAAGATAAAAAGTGAAAGTTGTAATCGATAATGACGATTAGGGACTAAAACTCGAAATCTATCCCATTATTCTCTTAAATAAATGAATACCCGAGGTTTAAACAACCGATATAAAGTAATTGTATTCTTTCAGTAATATGACAGACATTTTATATATAAGTAGAGATGGATGATGGCTAGTGGTGCAATGCAGGACGTACGTTTTGTTTTATTTGGGACTCATCAGCTGAATTTATCTGAATCTCAGAGACACATCAAGTTCAATCCTAAACAACTAATATGTAGTTTTTATCACAAATAATAAATATGATGAAAGTCATTAACACTATCAACGAATATACAATACTAGTCTTTTAGATTATTTCACCAATCAATAAAATGAAGACGTGATTATCAGGTTGATACATGTAAACAATACAATGTTAATATCACCTCACCCCATTACACAAGCATCTGGCTATCAGCGCTCAGTAGCTAAGTAGATAACGTGATGGCTTCAACATCAACTCTGTAGATGCAGGTACATCTAACTGACGAGTCTCAAATAGGACGAAACGCTCGTCAAACTATATTTCATTGCTATTCCATATTCACATCTTTACTTGTAATGCTTCTGAAATAAGGCAGTATCAAGGCAGTCCGTATAAGATGCACACATGCTAAAATGAGACTGATCAATTACAGTTCTATGCATCAATGAGAAGATTCAACTAAATCCGATTGATTCAATTACATAATACATTTATGAATTTACACTTTTTTTAACTTTTCTAGCTAAATTCTACAAAGAGAATATAAGACAACTACAATTAGATAAATGTAAATTATATTCACATCATTTATTAAAAATAAAAAATCCTCAAAATGTTGATGTATATAAAACCGGTTTTAATCAAGAACAAGAATTTACAACCCAATATACAGCATCAGATGATTCAAAGTATTCTGTTTATAGTAGATATATTAAGACAAGACATGGTACAAAAGTAAGTCAATCATATGGATTATTTATAATTTATAATAAGATATTACCAATGTATATGATATCTTAGTGATTAATCTAACAAGTTTACTATGGTGATCTCATGAAGAACATTTGATTTATACTTGTTTAGAATATCTTAAAGATAGGTTTACTTAGGAGATAACTCCCCGAGCCTTCTTCCTGAAGGTCTGATCCACAAGGAGCATCGTAAGGAGATGCAGTTCCATGGAAGCCGGTGACCAACATTTGGTTCATACGCCATTTGTTCCTTCAGGAGAATGGAGACCATGTGCACCATTGGTTTGGGATCCGGTTAAAGCGCCGGGCATTCGCTTTTTGTCCTCCCAACACCTGTGGCACGAGAAAGTAGTGAGTAGGACTTCCCTGGCAGAGGCTATATACACGTGGCCATGTGAGAGCGTTTCGAGAGGGAGAGCTTACTATCTTCACTCTCAGCCGTACCAGGGAATTTGGGTGCGTCTGGAGTCTTTATTGGTCCTGCTTCCTGCCTAGCCCCACCTGTTAAGTCCAGAACACCAATCCCAGCCTCTGTGACATGAATCATTATATTTCAAACACATTAGGCTTATAAACCAACCAGAAAGACCACATTGTACCGTAAAATAGGAAACAACATTTGTGCATGATTTGGCCACATGTGGCTGTGAATTTGGGAGGTAATGATTAATAGACAGGGCATAACTCACGAATGGTAAATCGTATAATAACAATTCATAGATCAAAACAAAGCTAATGATAAGAAGAACACGAATATGAATAGTTTAGTTGTTCAACAATTATACGATAAAAGTATATGCATATTATTGATCTATGAATGGATCCAAAAAGCTACCATTCATTACGCTTATCGGAAGATAACACTTAAGAAATCTTGTTTGAGGGTAATGATAATCATAATAATAATAACTAATTACAGTTTAAAATTCAATAATAATCAAATAAAAGTAAAGAAGAAAAGTAAAAGTAAAAGAAAACCCAAAACATAACAAGGTCAAGCAAGCATAAGAGGTTGAACGAATCGTTTTTGTACAAACAAAGTTCATGTTTGAATTGATGGATTGTCAATACCTCAGTAGTACACTCAATATTGACTTGACATCCCTTCAATCTAATCCCAAATTCAAACATTATATAATGAAACTATGTAATGATGTTAAATACGATCGTGAATTACAACTAAACATCAAACAGAAAGCGTTCTAATCTATTCCATTGAGAAAAAAGAACTTATTTTGTAATGATAACAATCTTTCTATTTTAGTATCAGACTGATAGATCCTTGGTTTGAATCCCTCGAGATAGGGTCATAGATGCGCACTGCCACTGAGGAGTTCCACAATAGGACGAAATGGCCGTCCAGTACTTTCAGGTTTTCCATGGTGGTCTAGTTTCAATTGACTCATAATCTCAATTATTGAAATTGCTTTTTTATTTTACTTTACACATTTTATTCTTTTTCTATTATATATTACAGTTAACATTTAATCATGCTGAAGCAACTGACTTACATCCAATAAAATTTCATGATGGAGTTATCCATATTGTAAAACAAGTAAATTTACCACCACAAAGTGATATCTCTTCTTTGATTCAACAAAAATCAAATACAAAGTAAGTTAATACTTTGATTGGGCTTGGTTTTATTTGTTTAAACATATAAGTATTGGTACAATGGGGTATCAAATATATACGCGCCATGTTCTAACTTGTGATCTTGTGCCATATTAATGTATAACTTAATGATAACACCAAATTGAGAACAATGGCTTATCAACTGAACCAATGACGCATCAAACTTGTACGAGTAGTTACCATTCATTATTCTTATCGAGATATAACACGCCATACAATCGCAATTAGAATGTGAAGAGATAGAGAATGTAACGTGTGTGTAAGAAAAAGGGGAACAATAAGAACAGAAATTAGAGTATCAGAGTGAAATAATAAAAATAATGGGAGAAGAAGTTCAGTTAGCAAATGTATAACCAGAAAGAAATCTACCAGTTAAAGAAATTACGTCTATTTTTTTATGGAGAAAGTAAAATGAATTTGCAGCAGGATCGTCACTGGCTTTTATTCTGAGCTATATCTGATAACTTCTCTAGCCACTGTGTTGCACTATCTCTAGAACCCCAACCAGGGTGTCATGGAGAATAATCAAAAGCCAGTCCTGTACAATTTTCCACAACATCGTGTCACTTTTTCCAACCAGTCTCAGGATCGGAAAATAATGCACGATATGGAATTCTCTGGGTTCTCGTGAACGACATTCCTAGAACATGTCCAAACTACCGAAGTCGATGTTTCAAGATAGTGACACTAAGTAAATTATCATCTTTGTTCCCGAACATACGATATGGAACCTTTGCATAACTAACATGATGTTACCACTAGATGTTAGCAACCCTTCGGCCACAACGATGATCAAACACAGAGTTATCTAACATCCTCAACTCAGAGAGACCAGGTTTCACAATCATAAAACAAAATTGATCTCACTGACGCATTGTAAATCCTACATTTTACAGCCAAACTAACATCATAAAAGTACCAAAAACAGGTCAAATTGACATAAACCTCTCTGTAGATTTCATCGCTTACGTCACCAAGATATATAAACATCTCGACTACTTCTATCAATAGTAACCTCTACACTATAGCTAACTATTTCATATCATTGATTATCTATGAAACAATGAAATAGACTTTATAATTGAAATCATGAGTCAGTTGAAGCTAGACCACCATGGAAAACCCGGAAGCACTGGATGGCTGTTTCATCCTAGTATGGGATTCCTCAGCAGTGTGTATTCAAGTTTTCCATGGTGGTCTAGATTCAATTGACTCATGATTTCAATCAAAAACGTAACAATCTTCACAACACCTAAACTGATTAATATTCTTTACTTCTATTTTTCTTTTTTCTTTTCTTTTTTGTTTTACTTTTAAATTATCAGAGAAATTTCAACAAAATTTCTTTCAACTAATTTTCATCAACAATTAATTCCATATTCACCGAATATTTTATTTTTGGCACCAATTGATGCAGGATGGAAAACAAGAGATTTAGAAAATTCTTATTCCATTGAACAAACTCGTAAAGTAAAAAAAAATCAATAATGATGTATCTATGCGGGTTTTTTCTAAAAAAAAATTTAGTTACTATGCCGTGTGTGTGTATGTGTTTTTTTAATTATTTATTTATAAAACATAATGGAATCGGAAAAAGAGAAAGAACAAAAAATAGTGCAGGTTTTAATTAACTGCTGACAGTCAATATTATTACAGATAAAGATTGACATCCTTATCATAAATATGAAGATGATTTGAAATGAATCTATGTGTATTATGATGTAGTGAAGATTTCAATAAGGTTTTTAATAAGATTATAAACATTGGTTGTTTTGGATAAATAAAGTTTGAGAGAGAAGGTTCCAGAACATTGAATTAGTGATTAGAACTCATGAAGTATTCATTACTTCATGAGATAGATTAATGATAATAAAGAAAGATATGAACTGAAGAAAATAATGATGATGTAAGTTTAAACTTTAGAAAGAGTTGAACTAATGAATGATGTAATAAATAAAGAAGGGAGGGGGTGTAATGTTACTAGGGTAAAGAAAGATTTATTACTGGTTCTTTCTGGATACATAAATTTGGTTTGAAACATTTGATCACTATCACTTCAGCAAATTTCAAAAGATTAGAGTTTAATTGTTTGTTAATCACTTTCAAAGATTTCAATGTATCGACTTGATGTCCATTGTCAAGGTGATGTTTTGTGATGGTACTGCTCAATGCATTTTATCCATTTGACTTTAAACGTTTCGGAATATGTTCTTTAAATCGAATGTAGGTTCTCTTTTCTATTCTATCAATGTAACTGCTTTGATAGATATATGTACACACACTTGGTGGGATACCTATCGACTTTCGATTGTATTAAAGAATGTATTGTTTTGGATAGAACAAACAATTTAGTTACAGCATAAGTTCTTGTCAATATAGTTTTTAGTTTCATATTGATATTGACCCTGTGACATCATCATCTTTGAATTTTACTAGAATAAAAATAGGGTTTTTTCTATTGACTGTGGTTACTTTGAGTTATTCCATCTTCACGTTTTGCATATCTCTCAATACATTTCAATGGGTATCTGTTATTCTTTAAACATTTTTAATATTCATAACTTCCTCTTCTACTGTATCGGCAGTACATATATTTTCTGTACTGTAAAACAATGTTTTCATCGAATCATCGAGTTCATTGTGATTATATAATGTGTACAACGTTAGATAAAACTAGTAAATTGGTTAGACAGGGGGGGGGATGAGAGGTGATATATGATTTTTCATGGATACAGAAGGTCTAGAAATTGTATTAAGCATATCCAGTTATCACGTACTCTGAAATTTTAAGGAAATCTCCAAAGTTTGAGGAAATTTTGGGGGTTTTGTGCCATTTCCCTAAAATTGGGAGCTTGGGATGTTAAAATTTTTTTTTAAAGAAGAAAATATAAAAAAGACAAAGCTAGTCCATATGATCGATCAACAAAGTTAGTTAAGGTCAATTTTGATCTTGAATTTTAAAAGAGATAACTATAATCCATAATTATGATATAGGAGATTATATTCTTTAGAATTTAATTACGCATGTTAATCCTCGTGGAAAAGCATAGTCCAGTCACCAGCATTCTCCATCCAACTCTATCTTGGGCAATTCTTTAAAGTTGTTACCAGTTACTATTCTTTCTTTTCATATCTCCTTCCAATTTCCGATGCAGTGTCTTCTTCAGCCATCCTCTTTTCCGTTTCCCTTCAGAATCCCAAGTTAGGGCTTGCTTCATGATGCAGTTAGGTGATTTGCGTAATGTATGTCCTATCCATTTCCATCGTCTTTTCCTAATTTCTTCTTCATCTGGAAGCTGGTTTGTTCTCTCCCAGAGAAGGCTCTTGCTGATGGTATCCGGTCAAAGTGTGTTGAGTATCTTCCGTAGACAACCATTTATAAATACTTGTATGTTCTTGATGATGGTTGTTGTAGTAGTTCTCCAAATTTCTTTAGAGTGTATAGGTACAATAAACATTGAATGTTTTATCTTCCACTAAAACTTACTACTCAGTTTCATTGAAACTTAACAACCAAAACGAATACAATTTTATCTGTTTACTTGATACTAGATTGTATTTGAGTTATAAGTGATAATTTACTACTTTCAGAGAGTGGTTTTGTGGCTATTATAATAATTTAACAGTTGAATTTCCGAGTCAATTGAAGCTAGACCACAGTTTCGTCCTATTGTGGGACTCCTAAGCAGTGCGCATCAACGACCCCGCCTCGTAGGGTTCGAACCCAGCACCTATCGGTCTCGTATTAATTGTTTAACCAACTAGACCACTGAGCCGGCATCCAGTGGTGTTAATATCTAACTTCAATTCATCTACGAAATTGAGCGACACATCCATCATTGTCATCAGTGAGTTACTATCTTACAATATACCCGGTTGAACTCCACTAGTCACTGCTTCTCACTAGAACTCCAGGATATACCTCTTGAAGTCAGTCACTAGTGAGCATATGTTAATTAGTATAATAAATTATAATAACTTCTGTATTTTGTTTTCTTCTTCTTCTTCTTCTTGGAATAGCTCCTACAATTGCATACTATTCCACATGGATTTTTTGGTAGTGATGATGGTTTTATTGAACGTGGTAGTGTACTTGTAGTTGAATCACTTTTAACTAATTTACAAGGTGAAAAAGTAAAATTATTCATTAAACGTACACCAGATGGTAATACGTTTGTTGGTCATAAAGATCTTAAAGAAGAATTATGGGTAATAATGAATTTGTCTTTACTGTAAATGATATGGTTAATGAATTATCTATTGATTATAAAGAGAATGTCTTAATTATTATTATTCATACATATATAGTATATCTAGTGTAGTGTGTACTTGTAGTGGCTGTGCTTCGTTGACCAATCAACCTCGTAACCGTTACCATATAATCCTCAACGGTGTTTGAAATCAGAAGGCAAAAGAGAAGCAGCGACTACAGTTTTATTAGCAGATAACTCTGACCATAAAGCAGACAGCCAAATGAATGAGTCGGCGAATCGAGAGAGTAGAGTGCATATGATTAAATATAAATGTATATATATATATAGGGAAATTAATGGATCATCGAATCAATTAAGCAGCTAATAATACAGCTAGCAGAATGAATATATGCTTAGACGGTAAACAATGTTCAAACATACATATTTCATACAAGCACAACAATAATAAAGGTACAGTAAGCTGTTATAGTACGGATGACTTTGTCCTCTAAATAAGTTTACAAAAGGGTTTAACTAAGGTAAATGAGAACAAACTCACTTGCACGTGAGTTGCTATATAGTACTAATTTCGACAGATATAAGTAGTGTGTATGAACAATCGAAAGTGAAATGTCCGGGGGGGGGGCGCAATAGGTTGAGTAAATTGAAGAGAAGAATATAGGAAGAGTGAGTAATTGATATGAAAAATAAAGAACAATCAAGTCCTAGACAACTGATGGATATTTTACAAATAAAGTATTTACTGTATGGCTGTTAGATTTTACCAAAATATTCTGACATGTTACATTATAGTATATTTAGTTGTTCTCGCCTGTGTTTTCATTCACTACACTAATTTTAATGAGGTAATAGTAAGCGATTATCATAACTTGATTTCCAGACTATCTAGCCACCAATTTCCTGTAGTATAACTGAGTGTTGACTAGGCTAATAGTCAGTGAACTACAATGTAGGACCAGTTATATATGTGCATCGGTTCATGTTACCATACTTCATTAACACAACAAGATGAACACCAAATTCATAGAAGTAGTTAATTCAATGGTAGTGATATATAAATGAAAGATTGCATATAAGGACATAGTACAGGAAGAGAGAATTAGTACGTAGAAAGAAAGATATGAAGCGATTTTAATCTCATAGTTTAAGGGAAGACAAAGAGTGTGTATACACCTACGCCATTATGATCGATTCTGAGCCATGTCACTCATAGTCTCCAACTATTGGTTACGATAGTCAAGTGGACCCCAATCAAGTAGTTTACATCTACCAACATGGTTAAAACTAGAAGTTAATAACTTCAATGACTGATTCCACGTCTTGGTAATAGGCTATTGAGTTAAATTAGCCAACTTTATTATTATTATTATTTCAATTCAAATCATTCATAATATTCATCTATCTAAGTCATTCACTTATGTATATTGATTGCTGTCTTTCTATTGTCTATTTATTATGATAGTCTATGGTGATTGATTGGAATAAAGTTGGACAGAATGGTATTGTTTGGTTTATTGATTGGCCAATGAAATGTCCGGAACAATTATGTTAACAATGTTTAATCAATATTTTAATGAATTTGAACCTTAATGATAAATAACTATTAGTCTATTGTTTATTGATCGATTTTGTTTTGTTATAATAAACGATCATTTAGTTCATGTTACCGCTTTTGTTTGTTTTTTTCTTTTTCATAATAAAATAGAAACTTTTGTTTTATTATTAATTAGTATACTTCAATCTGTACTTAATAAGGACTTGACACACATGACATTGATCATCACCCAGTGATTAATCAATTGTGATTACATCTTGGTCCTACAGGGGTCAGTCATGGCCCGGATAGCTTAGTGGTAATGTCTCTCACTGTGAAGCTGGGTAACATGGGATCGAATCCGCTAGGGAGTACCAGTTACCTCAAGGTTACAGGTATATCTTGCTAACGAGTGCCAAGTAACACGAAACTCGGGTCCAGGGTTTCCTGTCGACTACCTCAAACCACCATCTATTACTTTTTATGTATTTATTAAGAATACTTAACTCTCTTCAATATACAACTGATATTTACATGATTTGATTAATCGTTGAATGAATTCATATTTGAATAGGACAATGGGTAAATATATTTAATTGAAGACAATTTATTTGTTTATTTGCACACATCAGTATTAGTACAACGGGGAACCGAATACATATACGCCACACAAATTACTTGAGTTGTGTATGGGGTATGATACTACCCGGGTGCGCAGACCGGAACAGATGATTTTCTTAAGGAGCCATACCCGGAACGTTCGACCTAAAGGTCTGATCCATAAGGCAGTGGAGCAACGTTAGAAGATTCAGTTTTATGGTAGCCGGTGACCAATAATTGGTTCGTACGCCATTTGTTCCCTCAGGATACTGGAGCCCATATGCATCATTGGTTTCGAATCAAGATCCTCCAACTACTCTAGGCGGATCCTCCGTGCCACCAACCTGATTAAAGTGTCGGAAATTTGCTTGTCGTCCTCTCAATTTCGTAAACAACATTAATGCCACGAGAATGCAGTGAGTAGAAATTGCTTGTTTATAGTTGTATGCACGTAGCCATGTGACAGCATTTGGAGAGGGAGAGCAGACTATCCCAACCCTCGATCGTACCAGGGCATTCGGCAGCTAAATTTTATACAACTAAGTATAAGAATATTGAACAGTTATCTTTGAGTAGTGAGTAAGTTAATGCGATATGATGCAAACAGAAAGTGAAGAAACTGTGATATGAGATGGAAGCTGTTTTTAGGAACAGTATCTCATTTCATTCAAAGCTCTTAGAATGCTAATATTTAGTATGGTCCATAGTTTGTTCCGTGAGCCATTAGTTTATACTTAACGTTTTGAATTTCTTACCAACAATGGTCTGGAGGTTAGCATGTCTGAGTGTTTGTGAAAAGGGTAACGGATACGTGAAAGTTGATAATCCTGCTGCGTTAATCTCTACTTATCAAGGTCAAAGGAGTGCATGTCATCGACACTTGCTTCGACGTTGGTTCCTCGTGTTTCGACAGTCACGTGACCTCGACGTTTCCACCTCAGGGTCACTTGCCACGATCTTGACATCTCGAGAGATCCTGGTATGGTGACTCCGAATCCCCATTTCAAGGTCACCGGCTCCACCAGGATTGTCGGCTGCCGTTTGTCACGTGACACACACGGCCTTGTCCATCTCAAGGTCATTTTCTTCGAACGGACCATGTCGATCGTGATACTACTGACAAGTGTATTCAGTAGTATGGAGTGTACGTTGGTGAGAGGAATGAAATACAATGTAATCAGTGTATGCGATTTTGTTAGCTAGTTGGTAGATAAGCAGGTAATTGAGTAAAGATGCAAATGTTGAAAGAATAGATGAAGTAAGGATGGACGAATATACCAGTTTATTCGAGTTGAGCATGTCGATCTTGATATTACTGATAATTGTATTCAGTAGTATGGGTGTATAGGTGCATGTCATCGACACTTGCTTCGACGTTGGTTCCTCGTGTTTCGACGGTCACACAGCAATGATAGCAACGACAACGACAAAGATCGAGTTTTTGATGTTGTGCAATCGATCATGGAGAAGTTCTCATCAAAAGACCTGATCATCCTCATTGGAGGCCTGAACGCCAAAGTAGGAATGTATAACACCGGCTTTGAAAATATCATGGAACGACACTGACTGACCGGGAGAAATGGAAATGGAGAGAGATTTGTAAATCTATGTGCATTCAACAAATTGATTATAGGCATCACAACATCACCCCACAAATGCATTCACAAAGCTACACGGGTCTCACCGGATCACAATGCATAGAATCAGACAGATCAGGATCAAAAGGAACAAGCAGAAACCAATCAACAACAGCCGAACAATAACATGGGAAAACAATAACCGTGCTGAATAAACGGAAGCAAAATAGCAAGTGAAGAGGAGCATTACAGCCAACAAGCAAAAGTACGTGGAGCAGCCAGCAACGAGAGCAGATGAAGCCGTAGCTGCAAGAAACATGAAACAACAATACAAAACGACAAACAAACTGGCAGGAAAATATAGTAAACCATGGTGACCGGTAAGGAACAAAGTATTCAAGTCAATCAATGAGATTGAAGATCAGAGGAATAGATGGGTGGAATACTTCAAGCAACTCTTGAATAGACCAGCTTTATTGAGTCCACCGGAGATCGAAGTAGCACACACTGACCTTCTTATATATGTCACTCTTGCTAATGAAACAACACCTCTGAACTGTGTGCATTTAGGAATATGATATAAGAATTTGGGAATTCTGTCCAATTCACCGCATTGAATACAACAACACACCACGTTCTATCATCATTTCTCTTACATCCTATAACATTTTCAAAGTAAAATTGATTACTCCTTCTTCAATCTCAGTGTAAACAACGTGTGCTTTTTCTTAACAAACATATTTCTGTTGACCTCTTTTATTTATAGAAACACTAATGATCATACTTTGTTGTCAATTATCACCTCATTACATCTCATAAAGAGATCATATGATATTGTCTATACTCTATTCTGTTTAGTGGGTGTAATATAAATCTGAGTTAGAATGAAATATTTCGCTTCGTAATAATCTGTTCATGTGACTGCCAAAATGATTAGAGTTCTGATGTTATAGAAGATTACTACTTCTCTTAAGGAAAATCAATTGAAACCAATCACTGTTGTGGTATTTATAAAACTATGGGATCCAATCTTCATGACTTTTCATTCGCTTGGGTACCTGTATTTGTATATTGTTCAACTGTGCATCATAGATCTACATTATTGTACCGTAACATTGCAGCTGGTCAAACACTGGTAACAGACATATATATATATATATGCATCACATAGTATTTTAGCTATAGCTAAATTTATAGAAACGGACTACTGATTACATCTCCTATCTCAGTGGATTGATCGCTATTTGCTCATTCATTTCGTTTGGAATCAGCAAGTAAAACCAAGGTCTGTAATGCTTTATCTCTCTTCACTTATGGAAGGCTGGACGCTAATTTCTTTATTCTATCGATAAAGATCTGTGCGGATATCGTTCGGTCCAAAATGAACAGTCTTCCGTAGATACATCAGCTGAAACAGTGGTCATCAAAAGGCTGAGGGATCGATTTCCCATATATTAATATCAAATCCACAAGAGCATTTATACTTTCTATTCATTTTTCTACAAGTTCGAAAGCGCGAGCATATTGAGGGAGCTAAGCTTATCTACAAGAACGATAGACTCATGGTGCACGATCTATTCCCTGATCACATTTTTCGATCTATCATTCTGCATCAACTTTGTCTAATTGTGGAATAAAAAAAGCTTATCATCTTCCTCAGTGTATCGATCCTGTCATTTACTGTTAAGTAATGCAACTACGTATTGATTGCATTTTCATAAGACGTGTTTATGAAAAGGAATATATCGATGTATAGGTGAAGGAGAAAAGTAGACAGAGAGAAACCACAACAATAAACAAATGCTGTAATTTCATAAAATAGAACAGACTTACTCCATTAAACACCACAATATCGATTGTATGTAAAATGTCATAGTTTATTATTATGGTTAGTAATGTTACATTTTAATCAAAAATGTTTACAGGATGAAGTGAGTGTAATGAGAATGAGGATAATATCAATCCACAACAATAATTATAATCCATCAGAATAATGAAAGTTGAGAGGTAGTACGTTGATTTTAGAAATAAGATTTCACCGTGGAGATCGACGTTACATTCTCATTTACGCTTCATTAATTCTGTCGTTCAAAATTTTCGAGATAAATCTTAAGGCTTCTTATGTCACTGGTCTAAATGACTGTTATTAAATGACTTTCTGAGATGCATGAATTTCAGGAATGCAATACCAACTATTGACTACAGTCTAACATTGTACAGTACACTTCTCTATGTCACAATTACGTAAAGTATATTCAAGAAGAAATACAAATGCAGTCGAATGACAACGAGCGAATACACAGCCTATCATTTATTTATGTCAAATGGTAGGTGCCAATTGGTAGAGGGCCATCATTATCCAACTACTTATAATATGTAGAACTTGACAGTATGAAATATCTGTAATCTTGAGGGGATTGACGTTTTGATATAATATATTACGAGTATCTCAAAAACGCGTTGTGAACTATATAGAGGAACGTAATCTGGTTTCATCGAATAAATTTTGGGTTCATCAGTCCGTTGTTCCAACCGAATCTTGGTTGTTGGGTCGCTACAATAAGTCTTTTTGTGTTTCCTGTTTTGTCACACTTCTGGTAGATCTACATACACTGGATGAGTTGCATATCGTAAAACATGCAGTGTTTCTCTCAAGTGATGTGAAATGAAACTACTATGGTCAACGTGACAATGCTTAAATCCATGTATCAATCTGGGCTGGGCCACTATTGAAAACCTGAACTCACAAGAAGGCCGTTTAGTATAATACTCATTATTGCAAATGTTAAAATTACTTCAATTTCAACGGATACCCACTCTGACAATATTCTAATGCTGTTTAAAGTTTTGTTAGGAAGAGAAATGTCTCATATATATTCCATCAGTCAATGCCAGAGTTAACGCTAATACTCGATTGAGAGAAAATCTGAATGACGTTAAATCATCTTCTATAACTTCGTAAATTTTCCGGCTACATAAATTCTGTATACGTTGATGGATTTTTACACACACACA